TGCGTCAATCAATATTTCAATTATTACATTCTTCTGTAACATTCGAGAGTGTTCTAGAACGTTCTAGAATGTTTTAGAACGTTCTAGAACATTGCCAAACAATATTGCATTAAAACATTACAACCACTATTACTACTACTGCTACCGATACTGCTACTATTATTGCTACTACTACTTCTACTACTATTTTTGCTTTAACGACTACTACACTCCTTAAATAATAAGATAAATAATAATAAAAACTATTTATTATTGTTATTATTATTAATTATGATCATAATTTTTCAGCGAAACTCGATAGCGTGAAGACTTATATGAACTTGAGAAGGGTGCCTCTGAGGCTACAGGACCGCGTCATCCGATGGTTCGATTACCTTTGGCTCAGCAAGAAATCTTCTGATGAAGACAAAACATTAGGTTTGTTTGTTTGTTTGTGTGTGTTTGTGTGTGTGTGTGTGTGTTTTTATATGTGATGTATGTTTTAAAATGTTACCTCGAAACACATCATCGTTACCACACAAGCCACATCATCGCCACCACACCAGCCATATCATCGTCACCACACTAGCCACATCATCGTCACTACACCAGCCACATCATCGCTACCACACCAGCCACAACAACATCATTATCAGGACTCCTGCCGAACAAATTGAAAGCCGAAATAGCCCTACACGTCCACCTGGATACGTTGAAAAGAGTGGAAATATTCCAAAACACCGAAGCTGGCTTCCTATGTGACCTCGTCCTCAAACTTAAACCTGTATTATTCTCGCCGGGAGACTATATTTGCAGAAAAGGTATGCGTGTGTGTGTTTGTTTGTGTTTGTATGTGTTTTTGTGTGTTTTTATATGTGTGTGTTTCTGTTTGTGTGTTTGTATGTTTGTGTTGTGTGTGTATGGGTGTGTGTTTGTATGTATGCTTTTATGTGTGTGTATGTGTGTGTATCTGTGTGTGTGTACATGTGTGAAAATGAAGAATGGATAAAATAAAGAATGTAGGAACAAAAGAGCAAACGGTGAACGATAAATAACAAACAAAAGGAACGAACGAACGAACGAACGAACGGTCGAACGATCGAACGAATGAATGAATGAACGAATGAATGAAAAAACAAATCAATTCGAACGAGAAACAGATACGAAAAAGCCCATCTCGCATGGCACATGTATAAGTAGGCAGGCCGGTGATGAAGACGACGACGATGATGATGATGATGATGACGATGATGATGACGATGATGATGATGATGATTGTAATGATGACGATTATGAGGTTTGAGATGATGTTGTTGTTGTTGATAATGACAATGAATAAATACTAGTAAATACTACTCTCAATGCTTCTACAACTGTTATTACTACCATTACTACTACTGCTACTGCTGCTACTACTGCTACTACTACTACTACCACTATTACTACTACAACTACTACAAGTAATAATAATGATGATGTTGATGATGATGACGAAAATACCGGAAAAGTTTGGAATGATAAATTACTCATGTGCGCTATATAATTAATACTAAAGATGATGATGATGATGATGATATTGTTAGTAGTGATGATGCTGATGCTGATAATGATGCTGATGATGATGATAATAATGACGGTGATGATGATGATCATCATCATCAACAACAACAACAACATCATCGTCGCTATCATCGGAATGATTGCAAATCAGAGATTTGAGTTATGTACCGTATTAATCCATCTAAATAACTCCTCACCGACCGAACATGCTTTCATTCTCTCCATCTCTTTCTCTCCCCCCCCTCTCTCTCTCTCTTTTTCTCTTTCTCTCTCCCTCACTTTCTTTCTCTCTTCATTTTTCTCTATATCACATTTTTCGCTTTTTATTCTTTATCTTTTCTCTCATATTCTCTCT